CCCCCCCCCCCAGCATCACAGAGGAGAAATAAGGTGACACTGACCCCTCCTCCTATTTTTCAAGGTGACTTTTCCAATTTATTTATTTCCGAGTAGAAATGTCTGCAAAAATTCATGTCTTCGATGTACTTTATAATCTTCGGAATTCTGCTAGATTTCACCCCCAAAATGCATGAAATCGCAATTCAGGGACCCTAGATTTCAAAATTTTCCGGACCCCTGACCCTCCTAGACGGTCTCACGCTTTCGGAGTGAGGTTCGCCCCCACCCCCCACCCCCCCGCAAAATTAAGGTTTGGCTACGTCACTGGTTATAGCTGTACGATTATAGCTACAAAGAGTTGAAGTTATTGTTTAAAGCTAGTAAAATATGGTTCGAGTTCATAAATTAAAGTTTTACAAAATCTCTCTTCAGACTCGCACGTTCGCCAAACCTCGACGGCTCATATTTTTCGTTCTGCCTTTCTTTCCTGTTTTGCCCCCCCCCCCCCCAGTGAAAACTCCTTAAAAAGGCACTGAATCAAACTATGCACAACAATTACGGAAAGTTTCGAAAGATCAAAGAATGAAGCTAGCCAAAATTACATGCATGAAAACATTTGCTGGAAAAAATGTTCTGCTGACACGCTGAATTTTTACAATTAAAACTTGTCAACCTCAGTATCCGAAATCCTAAACGACGAATTGAAGGATATAAATACTCCGTATGATGAACTTTGCAATGCAATTAAATGCGTGGACGTTGTCTTACCCAGAGTTAAATATAGAAAACGTGTATGCCATGTAAAGCCTTTCTGGAATAGCACGCTTAAAGACTTAAGAAAAGCAGTTATGGCTGCAAGATTGGAGTGGATGCAGAAGGGATCCCAAGGTTCCCAGAGAATATTGATTACATGCAATACAAAAAAGCTAAATGAAAATATAGAAGAGACCCTCTCTCCTCCGCAGCAGAGACTTTAGTTTTCCTAGGATTTAATATTACGATGAGATACATTTCACTACACTTTACATGGCGGATCTTGGAACACGAGCGTAGCCGCTGGGCGAAGGAGCGCAGGCGGCAAAGGAATAAGGCGAGGAAGGCGCGAAGCCTCTGCACGATTTGCATCGCAAAGTGGGACAAAGTGTAAACATCGAAACAAAAGGTGATTTTTAAGCTAAATAACATATGCCTTTTTGAAAATAAAATTCGGGAATTAGTTCACGATCAGAGCAGAAATGGGAATACCGTAATAAAAGATGCTGTTTTCAAGATACAAGCTCAAAAATAACACCCTAAATAGTGTTTTGAATTCTCTTTCGAACAAGACTAATAAAAAGAGGATGCGTCCCAAGGAGCCGAAGTTATATTCGGCGAAAGGTATGCCTAGTTTATATTTATAAAGTATAAATATTGCGTGATTTGATTATATACAATCCCGCTTGAATTTCAAAGGCCATAAATCGCTATTGTGTTGACATTTCACTAAAACTATCGATAGAAATTAGGAGATATTTTTGTATTGAATCGAACGGTGGTATTTTCATCTACATATCGTATATTGAACCAAAGATACGAACCTCCAAATAACCAGGTCGAAACCGACTTAAGGTCACGTTTGTTTGTAAATATTGCTGAAGTTGAAATAGTTGAATTGTATATTCAGTCTTGATAATAAATTTAATAATGGATCTGTATGGTATTGGTATGCATATACTCATTTTTTTCTTTTATGCGGTTTCGGACGGCTATTAGTAAAACCAGGAACAGCGGAACACCGGAACACGGAACACCGGAACAGCATCATTCCGGAACACTGGAACACTAAAAATTCTTGATTTGTTAAAAATTCGGAAAAAAAATACCGGGGTGTGTGAAAGTATGGCTGCAATAATTATTGCGTAAAACGTATGCCTTTTTAATTTTCTGACTTGGCTGACCATAGCTACTAATAACGAACAGAAATCCTCGCAGAAATCAGTCTCAAAGTAATAAATATTTGCCTGAAAAATAGAAATCAAACCTAGAATTGTTATTTGTTGGGAATAAATAGCCCATCTTTCTTTGTTGTTGAAAACATGTCAATAAAAAATATTGAAGTAACAACAGTTGATTCGGGCTTCCTTGGTTTTCAATTGTCGTTCGAAGTTGGCATTTAGCATCACTTTAATACAGACGGAAGTTCTTTATAATATTGATCCTTTCTCACACGAAATATTTTATCAGCGGCGATGGATAAAAAACCTTTAACATGTGATAATAACTTTTCGCTCAATTAAAATGACAAAAATACAAACAAATATAACTATAGCTAATATAGGCCATGTAAGTTGTATATATAAATGATGTTTCAACGCATGCATGTGTGCCTACTCGTCCATGTTTAAACTGTAAATTAAACTGACACTATTAAAGTGAGGGAATTTTAGTACGAGTAAAAATCCTGCGATTGTATCCGCGTTTTCGCTCGAACCGATTTTCGCTTGCCCTGAGATTCGTTGGCCGGCTAGTATGGCATAGTATACCGAGCATACTACATATAAAAAGTCGCACACGACGACGCGGTATTAGGCTATTAGTCTAGGACCTGTATATGAGTTTGTATGCATTTCATTTAGGACAGATAATCTCAACTGTTCTAGGGTAATTTGATCATGACGGTCAACATGGTAACGCTGCCCGAACCCCAATCCGGGGCGAAACGTCCGAAACTGACCACACCCAAAAACGACGCTTTCGCCATACTGCTATCTACCAAACCATAAAAGCTTTGGCTATTCTGAGGTGCTTATATGGTTCAGAGATGGTACTTTTCGGGGTGGTCATTGGTAAGTGTGAAATGCCTAGCACTAATATTTCACAAGAAAATGGCCATGCAATAATCATAGTTAAACGTCAATTTGTAGCTTGCAACTTCAGATAAACAGCAGTGGACTTACATTACCTTTTTCCCTAAATCTTTTTGATAGAAACATAATTGGTACTTATTTAAATATATTATCACTGATTTGGTGTAAAATAGTTAATATTTCTGACCGAAATAATAATTTGAAATGTGCCTACCTCCTGCAAATGGACGTATTTGGCCAAGTTCTCCACTTTATTCCGCTGTTTATCGGCGATCTCGTCGACATCCGACAAAAAATGTAAATCATCTCAGACATAATGGTATCAAGAACATTTTAAACAAGTTTCAACTTGGTTTCAAGTAGATCATACCTGTTTAACCATCGACAAGTTAAATCCACAACTTTGTCCAAATTCGGAGCCATTTTGTCATCCCATGTCGCTTGTTACCAATTCAGGCCTGTTACTCTTCCATCCAAGCCATTTCCATTCCACTAATAATAAATTTAACCCTTTATAACAGGAGGAAACTAAAAAATTTAAACAAAATATAAGAAATATGCCATTTTATCTCCATGTAAAATTTTGCTCACGAGTCTTTCAAAACATTCCGTACAAATATCGCGTGACAAAGTTTCAGGGACGTGACAGGAGGGGGTGAATTATTTCACGAAGATAGAAGAAGGCTGCGTGAAATAGACTAAAAGCTAAATACAATTATACAAATGTTTGTTTTATTTCTTGTAGCGACAAATATATACATATTATTATTTATTAATATGAAAAAGTCCTACAAATTAAATGTTGATTGTTGGTTTTACCATACTGTGTGGGCTTTCCTCTCATTTTTCAAGTCTCTACCCCCCCTGTCACGTCCCTGTGGCTAAACCACGCGAGATTTGTACGGAATGTTTTGAAGGCTCGTAAACAACATTTTACAGGGTGATAAAATGGCGTATTTCTTGTATTTTGTTTAGATTTTTTAGTTTCCTCCTGTTATAAAGGGTTAAATTTATTATTAGTGGAATGGAAATGGCTTGGATGGAAGAGTAACAAGGCTGAATTGTTAACAAGCGACATGGGATGACAAAATGGCGCCGAATTTGGACAAAGTTGTGGATTTACCTTGTCGATAGTTAAACAGGTATGATCTACTTGAAACCAAGTTGAAACTTGTTTAAAATGTTCTTGATACCATCATGTCTGAGATGATTTACATTTTTTGTAGGATGTCGACGAGATCGCCGATAAACAGCGGAGTAAAGTGGAGAACTTGGCCAAATATGTCCATTTGCAGGAGGTAGGCACATTTCGAATTATTATTTCGGTCAGAAAATATTAACTATTTTACACCAAACCAGTGATAATATATTTAAATAAGTACCATTTATGTTTCTATAAAAAAGATTTAGGGAAAAAGGTAATGTAAGTCCACTGCTGTTTATCTGAATTTGCAAGCCACAAATTGACGTTCAACTTTGATTATTGCATGGCCATTTTCTTGTGAAATATTAGTGCTAGGCATTTCACACTTACCAATGACCACCCCGAAAAGTATCATCTCTGAACCATATAAGCACCTCAGAATAGCCAAAGCTTTTATGGTTTGGTAGATAGCAGTATGACGAAGGCGTCGTTTTTGGGTGTGGTCAGTTTCGGACATTTCGCCCCGGATTGGGGTTCGGGCAGCGTTACCATGTTGACCGTCATGGTCAACTTACCCTAAAACAGTTGAGATTATCTGTCCTAAATGAAATGCATACAAACTCATATACAGGTCCTAGACTATATATATGTCCTGTATTTAACAGTTATTCTACGAACTCGAGTCGAATATGAGCTGATAGCCGATGAGGCGCGTAGCGCCGAATCGGCTATCGCTCATATTCGACGAGAGTGAGTGGAATAACTGTTTTATTATATACACATGGTCTGAATTCACAGACTTTGCTTTTCGAATATTTTCAATATTTTTCTATAATTTTGTTTTATGTTTTTATCTTCGCTCTTTCGGCTGATTATTTTTTCAAAAATATATATTTTAAACCGTTTTAAATTTTAAACATTTATTTGCTAACCTGAAAACAATTTGTGGGAGTTTTTTCATTGTGTTTTTAATCCTGTAAAGGCTATAAAAATCGACAACTTGCCGTTTTCTCGTTTGTAAAACATCGTAAATTCAGTTTGGCCGCCATTTTGTTTTCCTCTACTAGCAGGATATGAGCTATCCTGCTAGTAGAGAACCAATCAGATTGCAGAATACCTCATATCCAGACCTTGTGTATATAATAAATATCATTATCGAGGTACTGACACAGTATAGCACAAAAGATTGCATACGCTAAATTATTCCCTTTTAGGATGCGCCATTTTTTATATTTATAAACAACAAGTTGATTTTACAACTTGCACTTGAAAAATAGATGTGTAATTTTCAACTTGCGCCGATTGAGTGTAAAAGTATGGAAAAATATTGAAGAATGCATTATTAATTTAGCATTCTGTGATTCGATACCCGAGATACTATTCGTCCTAATTTGTTCTAATGTGGTATAACAATATGCAATACGGCCGGCGACTTATACAAACTCGTCAACCTCACAACATGTCACGAGCTTGCCAGATTCTCGCTGCCCTGAAAAACTGAATTTCTTCCAATTCTTAAAGTCAAAAACCAAATTGGCTAAAATAAACAAGAGAGGAATATGTCATCTTCTGCTGCCATGTTTGTAAAATCAACTTGTTGTTTATAAATATAAAAATGACGTAAAAACATATATTAATGGCGTAATTATTGCTCCTAAAAGGGAGTAATTTAGTGTATGCAATCTTTTGTGCTATATGTGTAGTATGCTCGGTAATTCAGGGATCGCGGAGCAGGGGGTGGGGCTGGGGGCTTTAGCCTCCCCCCAATAATTTTCAATACCTATGTGATTTTTATAAACTAAGAATACTGAAATCTTTCAGATTAG